TTATTAGATATTACAATAGCCTTACGATCCTTTAAAATTGTATATTCAAGTTTATATATAATTCGTAAGAGTCGTTGTTATTTAATAAAAATTAAAATCTAGTTTTAAAGAATAAATAAATAAATTTCTTTATATCTTACATAAGATCAGTTTTCCTTAGTGTATTTAAAATCAATCTATTTCCTGCAATAATTATTATTTACTTCTGTATTATTTAAAAAAAATATTATTTTGATTTTTTTATTACTATATTTTATTATTACTCATTTATTTTATTATTTATTATCTCTACTGTATAAAATATGCTCATCTAAAATGCTACACAAGACTCTCCATGACTTGGTTCAGTTCACATATGTTTTTCAGTTTATTTCATTTTCTATTTTATTTTGCCAGCAACTGCTTCAGCGATGTGCAAATTCGATTAAATATTAAGTGATATTATAGCATGTGTAAATGTATGCGTGTATACCTCTCTCTCCCACTCTATCTCTCTCTGTGTGTGTAACTACTTTTGCATATTTAAGTGACACCGAAAGCGATTCACATGCAAACCAAAACCAGAGCTCCAATCGTGGCCCCTCGTCACCCCCCGCATCCACACACGTACAGAAATTGACGCTCGTAATGAAATTTGCGGGCAACGCGTTTTACGCGTTTTAATTGATTGTAAATATATGGCATAGCCGCAAGGGTGTACACACACACACACACACTCATATATATCTGTATATCTATATGTATCTGCATCTATGGAGCAGCACTTCACTCTGGTCCAATTGGCCGTCCTGCAAAAGTATTGAAACAATTTTGCTACTCACTGAAACTTGAACAAGCAATCAATAACTGCAAAAATATATATATAAATACATACATACATACTTATAGAAAACGAAATAACCAAACAACAAGAAAAATAACAGAATATCGAGAAATAAATCACATTAATTACACAGCAGCTGTCAACTCCACTCGTGTATCTATGGAAACGTGTTGGAAATTTTCAACTTTGCCGAAAATTTTCCTATTTTATTTTTTCTTTATCTCGTTTTGCGTTTATTGAAAATTGCGTTTTGTTTAACGGCATTTATTAAAAAATGCATTTTAATTGGAATTTAAGCCAGAATGCGCTTGATTGACATTTATATCATACTCAATTTTAAATATCAATTAAAACTGCAGTCACAATTCAATTCGATGCGAGGCATCACGGCTCAGCCAACAACCGATTTAGGCCAATTAAAATAATTTTAGGCTGTTCTATGATAGTTTACTAATTAATATCGAATGCCATTAATCTTACAAATTAAACGTCAATACATTGAGAGATCGAAATAACTGACGTGAATTGCAACCGATTAGCATTAGGCAAATATTCGATTAAGGCAAATGCTAATGGTAAGGCATATTGATTATGTCTAATCAGGTTTTCTGGGCATTGCGAATGTAGGCTTGAGAGTAGAGCATTGCAAATTTAGGAAAATTATGACAAGAGCTTACGGGAATGCATTAATTATAATGTAAATCTAGTAAAATAACTAATCAATGAAAATTATGAAATATCAATTACAGTGGTATTCATTTATTTTATGTAATATTTTTTATACATTATATTTCTTTTGTATAGCAAAGCATATACTAGACAGAATAGATAAATTTTTAAATATAGCTTATTATTCTTTTTTATATTAA